ATCCCTTGATTTTATATTCCCTAACTCCTGGGTCATACTCTACCTCCTTGACTCCTAGACACTCGCCACATATTGTTTCTGGCTCTGATATATTCTCACCTTCTAGCTTCCAAGGAACTGAACTGTAGCTTCCAGCTCTAAAGCCTCTCCATTTCACTTCAACTATTTTTCTAAAAGCTGAATAGCTGTTCTTGAATTGATGTTTTATGGTGGCTACTAAAGCACTGGGACCTTGATAAGACTTGAATAAACACTTGAGGCCCTTTTCTTCACTGAAAGTACATGTATTTGAAGCAAAAGGCTGGGATGGGATACAAAGGGAAAAAAACGATTTTGTAAAACTTGTCATTTGACCACATTGAAAACAATAGGCTGCTGTTCTGAACGTCCACATTTAGACAGACACAAACCATTCCAGATACATTACTACATCTATTGTATTTCACTAACTCACTATTGCAGAAATGGAAAATACATTTGTTAGAGTCTAATGTAGATTGATTAGTTCTCGAAGGCAAGTATAAAAAAACTGACGCTCTTTGGATCCAAAGACATATCATTTGAAAAAAAAGGATTGACATTATTAAGGAACCACAAATTAAACAGAAGATAAAACAGGTACAACTTATTAAAGGCCGTGTGAAAAAACCGTGTCCCCTGGTTATCACTTATTAATCAGAAAGCCAAGTCTAACCTTTCTATTTTTGTTGGTCTCATGTTGAATTTCCATAGTTTTTCTCCAGAGTTTCTTCAGAGATTGTGGATATAACACAGCTTAACCCATACAGTATGCCATTGTCGGACCATTAAGGAAATACACACTTTTACAAGTAAAACATTTCTCTGTTTTGATTCTTAAAAGAAAACTTTATTTTCTTGACTTTGGCACTAAATAAAAAGGATTAGTGCAGGCTACAAGCTTCCTCACTGATGTCAAAGAAACTGCATTTCCTTGCTGTCTTGGATCAGTGAGACTTGCACCATTCAGGCCTATTGAACGGTTTGTGCTACAGTATATGAAATACAGCAGGACACGTCAGTGGTTCATTTTTCCCAACCGCTGGAGTCTTATGTCATGGACACACACACACACACACACACACACACACACACACACACACACACACACACACACACACACACACACACACACACACACACACACACACACACACACACACACACATACACACACACACACACACACACACACACACACACACACACACACACAACACACACACACTGAAGCAATTAGCTGCGGCCTTGTGGTTAAATAATAGAGTTTAGGCATGCCTGGTGATTTCTGTGGAGTGGAGGAAAAAGACGATACTTTCATCCACTTCTCCTACAAGGTCCATATGTTTCATCTTTCAGTGCAGACATGAATGCCCTCCATCCACACCCAGACTGTCAACAAATCCTCACCACAAATATCTGAGCAGACTGGGGTCCCTGTCAAATGGATGAATCCAGAAGGCTTAATTCCCTGCCAGTTCAAATCTCCAGTTACTTGAACAATCAGCTGAAAGAGATTCGAGACGCTTGCAGCTTTTGAAGGTAGCTGCAACCTTTGTTTGCCTTCATTAACCTTTATTTAACCTTGAAGTAGCTTACTGACCATGCTTTTCATCCATGTCCTCATTCCTTCATGCTTAGTTTCACTCATGTTCACACCTGGGATCTACCCGGCACAAACATCGTCGTCAACCAGCGGGCATCTCCAGTGGAACAAATTCAAATTTCAGATTGTCAACTGCCAACCAACTGGGCACCAAAAGGATTTGGAAAACGTGTGTCCAGAAGATGTAAGTTGTCCTAATTTACAAACATTCCTGCATTGCATTCTTTAAAGTGGCATGGAGAATGGAAGAAATGAATATGTATGAACAGCTGCTACAAAAATGTCCACTTAGAAGTCATATGGCTAGTTTAAAACAGACATGGTTTTAATGGAAACTGTGGTGTCTAAAAGCATCGTATTTGCTGAGGAAAGACAGCAAAGGGTTTGGTGACACAAAAACATCTATCATCTGGACTGCAACTTGAGTTTGCTGCACATAAAGAATCACACATGTATAAACAACCCTAAGACAAACACACAGAAAATCTCCAGAAAACTGTTATAGGTTTTTAAAAAGTGCTGAGAGGCAGACAGAGAGATGGAGAGAGTATAATTCCTGACAGATTATTCCTTTACCAGATGATGGACTCAGCTTTTCCATATAAATGGCCATGCACGTACACACACACACACACACACACACACACACACACACACACAACACACACACACACACACACACACACACACACACACACACACACACACACACACACACACACACACACACCACACACACACACACACACACACACACACACACACACACACACACACACCCACACACACACACACACACACACACACACCAACACACAACACACACACACACACACACACACACACCACACACACACACCACACACACATTCACACATACACACACACAGACATCTGACACTTCTTTGTAGGTTACTTCACGATGGTCTACAGAGTGTGTGTGTGTGTGTGTGTGTGTGTGTGTGTGTGTGTGTGTGTGTGTATGTGTGGTAAATGCATTAACAGTGGGGAGAATAGATGACTTCACAAGAAAGGGACAGCACACAAAGGCCCAGACCAACAGAGACCGACAGACGTTGGATGTGTAGGGCCTTTGAGATAACCCACCACACGTCTGACTTCTCTCTGCTCCATTTCCTCCTATTCTCTTAGGTTTTCTCTGCTTAAAACTCCCAGTTTGGACCCCACATCCACATTCCTCGGGTGACCTGACCCCAATTTTCACCGCGTGCCTCATAAAAAACTGTATATTCAGAGTGAAATTGCACAGAAAGAGTAAACTGCCTGACTCAGCATCAGCAAAAGAAGGTTAATCATTCCCTGACCACAATGCTTAAGAATCTGCAGACCAGTTGTGTGCAGAGAAGGAGAATAACAGCCTGTTTTTATTTGCTCACTATTATTTCTGATGTCTTCAATCCACATGGCTGCCGAATCGGAGGTGGTTCAATTTAATCTCAGTGTAATTCTCAGGGAAAAACAGGGGAAGGTAAAAAGGTAATATTGCTTATTGCAAAAACTGCTGTCAAGCTCGATCAAGAGCTGCAAAGTTCCCTAAATCCCTACATTCTCTTTGGCCAGCAGCTGAAGACTTTGTTGTACGGGAAAGATCCCAAGTTATGACTGAGTTAAGATGTATGAAAGTAAAGCAGTGATAGAAAAGTCAGCAGTCTTTCGTTGAACAAATAACAGAAATAGAGAGAGGATAAGTCTGTGATCTTATTTGGTGCTGTGACACACCCACTGCTCAAACACAATCCATCTAGCTTATCATAAAGAGCTAGCCTGGCTCTGTCCAAAGCAGGTCTTAAGGTAACAAAATCTTCATGCTGGCACCTCTAAATCTCACTAATTATTAGACTCCTGGAGTTTCCGCTGGTTGCCAAGCATTTGCTCCTGGCCAAGACATAGTACGGCATAATAACCCCCCATAAAACAACCACAATGTCGTTTTTACGCTTTAGTTTTGATATGGATGAGATACATGTTATTATAGTATTGAAAAGGCGCTGTTAAACACACTTCTTGATTTAAACTTCAGGAAAGATCCAGGTCTCACCCTGTTCTTAGTCTTTATGCTAAGCTAAGCTAAGCTAAGCTAACCGGCTGTTGGCAGATATTGGCATTGGTTTTCTAATCAAACTTTTGTCAAGAAAGCTGCTATTTACTAAAATGACAAAAAGAAGAGGTTGATATGTGTTTTTATCAGGACCAGAATCTAAACTCCCAAAAATGTCATGAAATAAAAACCATAACATTTGTTTGTTTGCATCAAATGAATATAAATAAGTGAAATGAATCTATGGATCTATGGAAAAAACAATATGAATAACAAAGTCTAGATCTGTATGCATCTATAGTCATCATTGTCTTCCCTGCTTTGGGTTGTAAACAACGTTGTAATAATTGGCCCATCAGTCTGTCTCATAGATCTTAATTGTCCAACACAACCTCTTACCTCTCACTCTGAACCCTCTCTCCTGCTACTCCACATACTGACTATCCTTGGGGACACTAACGTTTCCCCCTCCTCCCCTTCAACTTTCCCTCTCTGTTCTCTATTTTTCTCTTCTGTTAAAGTCTGTTGGCATTGCCTGTGTTGCTTCTGGCTTTAACATATTTTTCTCACAAGCCTGTCTTTCATAGCTTTATTTGTCCTAACAATGTGACTTTACACATCCGTCTCTCTCCACTTTGGTTCCCTTTGAGTGTTAGTTGGCCTCTGAGTCGGTGTTTCTGTCTGTCTGTCTGCCTCTCTCTGTCTGCAGATGTGTCTGTCTCTCCTGATGTCTCCTTTACCGTCTCTCCACTCTAACTCATTCACTTTCACAGTTCATCTGATTTTCTGTCTCTGCTGCACACACTTTCTCTCTCTCAGCCAGGCAGAGTTGTACCGGTGTTGTGTTTCAATACAGGAGGAAATATTTTCAACCATGCAGGAAATGTCTGACGTGCAAGAATCGTTCTCTTCTCATGCTCACACCCGCACACACCCGCACACACCCACACACACACACACACACACACACACACACACACACACACACACACACACACACACACACACACACACACACACACACACACACACACACACACACACACACACACACACACACACACACACACACACACACACACACACACACACTAGCACGCACGCACGCACGCACGCACGCACGCACGCACGCACGCACGCACGCACGCACGCACGCACACCACACACACACACACACACACACACACACACACACACACACACACACACACACACAAAAATGAACACACTTACTGTAATATAAAAATACTTTTTATTTGAAAACTGAACACGAAATGAATTTCCAGTCCCCATTTTTTTCTTTTTAAGAGCTGGAGTATATTTAATTTAATTAAATCTAGCATGCAGACGCTGCAGGGGCAGACAGGCTGCAGACGGGAATTGGACCATATAAAAAGGGGTCTGTCAAAGGGAATAAAAGCACCAGAAACAGCAGCAGCCCCACCAGATAGGAGAGGAGTATGGCTGATTTTTGGGGGTGTTGCAGGGCTGAGGTTAGGTCAGGCAGGCCCTGACTGTTACAGAACGCATGGCACACAACTGGACCCACAATGTGACCTATCAAAAAACATTACAGATTGCATAAACTGTGTACTGTATTGGTAATATCTTAACAAGTTAATGTGCATTCATCTCTCACCAGTTCTCATAAATATAAAGGCAGTGAAGGCACCAAACAAAGTTGTGTACAAGAACTGCGTCCCTGCAAAAGAATAGAACAAATAAGTCAAATTGATGACCTTGAATGTGAAATCAAAAGGATTGGATCTAATTGTATTTGAGAAAAGTACCATATTATAGTTTTAAACAGGTCTTCAAGTTATTATGTACTTCTTTACTTGAGTATTTCTATGTGTGATACTAAATACTAATACTTCTAAATCCCAGAGGCAAATATTTGACTTTTACTCAGTTTTGGAAGTGATTTTGATTCAGATAGATAATACCAAATATATTCAACAAATAATCTATCATACATTTGGTTGAGGTAAAAGTTGATGTATCCCTTGGTAAAATGTAGCTCCCTTGTGGGCCTAGTAGAAAAAAGCTTCTTATTTACACATTAACACATAGATAATTGAGTCTATTTTTAATATTTATGATACTGAAATGCGCCATTCTGAAGAATAAATACTTTAACTGTTTAACTTTAAGATGGTAATACCTTTATACCTTTTATATCAGTAACATTTGGAAAAATTGACCTTTACTTGCAACACAGTGTATATAATTGTTTACCACTAAGCGTGTGTGTGCAAACAAAGTTACGGAGATGACTTCTTTGCATTAGTAGAATTTTCCCACTCCTGCAGTGGAGATATTTACAAAAAAGTGCGTTCAAAATGTTGACAGACTAACACATTTCAATATGTATTGACAGAACCTTCATTGGAATTCATGTTCCTACATTATTACAACATATATGAGCAGTGTTTTACATAAACTGACCTGATACCAATAGGATGATACTCATACTGTCCTTGTGGAGGCGCCGTTGCTCTATGATGTGATGGAAATGGGCTAAAATGTTTAGGGCAAAAATAGACAAAAAGGTTTAAATCTTTCCAAAGTACAAAATAATTTGGTCATACCTGTTATAATAATATCATCACAGATCGAGTTTACACTACATTAAGGTCATTTGTAAATATGAGTTGTTTACAATCAGAAAACATGGTTGTCTCACCAACTCCGAAGAAGAGCGGAGCGATGAAGATGGCAGCGGTGGGTCCAGTGCAGGGCACCAGCATGGGCAGCATGGCCCCTCTGAACACCAGCTCCTCCGTCACTGGAGCCACCAGCTGGTTCCTGAGCCACACTGCATCTCTCACACACCACCTCCAGGACTGCACATCTGGGGGAATAAAGCCTCATGATGACTGACACAGCAAATGCAATGCAAGCACACATGTAAAACTCTCCAAACACAACAAAACATTTAGTAGACGCAAAGCATAACTCACCTAGGAGAGACTGCAACTCCCCAGAGAAGCCTTTGGGGTTGTCCATCGCAGAGTGTACCAGAGGCCCCAGATAAAATGCCTTATGTTAAAGATAAAATCACTTGTTTATTACAGCCAGTGGAAGTATATAAAAAAGACATGCACATGGGAATATAATAGAGGTTGTAAAGCCATGCTGTTAAGATTTGGAAATGTAATCTCTGAAATGTCAAAACCTACTTAGTGCAGCATAAATAAAATGCTTTAAAAGGAAAATAGATCCACAGACTAACTAAACCGAATACATTTTCAGACTTTACAGCTTTAACAGGTTATGAAAAATATGGTAGAATACGTCGTTTTTTGCTTTTATTATAGTATTTGTTTTTTTAAATGTCTCAATGCAATTGGTGCGTTGTCCAAGTCTTTGACACCTATTATGATATCAACTGTGACAAAGTTTTCCATAGTCTAATTATTATTATTTTTGAATTGTCTCTATTGGTTGTATATAGATATAGTCTAAGTCTTAAACATCTAGCAAAGAAGAAGTAACATCGTGTACTTGAAGCTTTATTCAAGGTTGGGACTCTCTGATGTACCATTGTTAGTATTAGCGGAAGAATGGCTGCGGGAACAAGACCCTCCAATCGGACGCCCATCAACTCCAACACGAATGCATTGACCTGGAGGAGCGTAAAGTAGTTTTATAAACACAGTTTTGACCCTCAAGTGATTATAAAGTTAAGCCAGTGTGAACCCAGGTTTAACCTCACAAAGCAATTTATGTATAGGGAATACGACCCCCGGAGTGAGGACACTTTCCTTCACCTGCACGTTCAGGGTTCACTTTGGGAAGTGTCCTTGAGAAAGACACAGAATCCTCTTAATTTTGACTGTCAACGACCTCTGACCTCCTACCTGAATGTGGCTCTACTGTGCTAGTGCTGTACTGTTTTAGTATAGATTGGACATAGTTAATACGTGTACAAACACTAATTTGCCTGTTTATGCACCTAGCTAAAACGAATGCAGTCTAATACATCATTCCAGAAATAAATCCTACATTAATGGAGGCTATGTTTGGTTTGTATGCAAACTGTTTTAGAGAGGGTTACATTTTGGAGGATGTACTTTGTACGGAAAAGGATTAGGGCCACTTGATTTTTTTTTTGGGAGGATTTGAAATAAAACCGTTTTTTTTTTGTTCTGACTTTAATCTCAGAATTCGGACTTTTTCCTCAGAACAAAAAAACATAATTTTTTTGGGAGAAAAAAGTCAGAATTCTGACTTTAATCTCAGAATTCTGACTTTTTTCTCAGAATTCTGAGATTAAAGTCAGAATTTCTTTTCTCCCAAAAAAAATATTTTTTTGTTTGTTCTGAGATTAAAGTCAGAATTCTGAGATTAAAGTTAGAATTCTGACTTTTTTCTCAGAACAAAAAATAAATAAAAATGTGGCCCTAATCCTCTTCCGTAACTTTGTCATGCTCTTGAACAGTACTGATTTGTCTCAGGCCATCTTTATTGATATAAATGGGGTCGACAAAGTTGTTCAGTATAACTCCTTAGAGGTGTTTATTGCCTGCAGTGCTCAGTAATTTTCATTCGATAATACATTTCATGTTGAATGTATTGAGAATAATCAGTAAGCTTAAAGTTATGGGATGTGTGTTTTGTTGTAGGTTTAATGGGCATTAGTATTGCCTATTGAAGAATGAAATGGAAATAAAGTACTCAACTCAAATTCCAATTGCTTTACATTAGTGGCACTAACCAGATCATATCATTGGTGGTTGGATTCTCAGATGTTTGTTAGGATATTGGTTATTGCATTGAGCTATGGCCGACTGAAGAATTAAAGAATCAGATGATGGGAACAGCATGTTTTGTTTATGTGTACTCACCCTGATATCAGCCCAGTGCATCCATGCTTTCACCACTGCAGGTGACAGCGCAGAGACCAGCAACACACTTGCAGAGCGACGCTTTATCACACTGGGATGATCCCTGCACACACATAGCAACAGTTTAAAAGTCAAGGGTAACAGCCTAGCCACAGCTCTGATGGTGAGTTGTATACCTGGGTAAGCTGCTTCTCCAGATGTACAAACTGCCAACGTACAGACAGGCGAGCAGGAGGCAGCTCAGCACACACACCCAACACCTCACATGGCTGTGCTCCACCTCCTCCTGGATTACAGGGCCATGTTCTGGTTCCAGCATGACCGAATAGAGGGTTTCCTATGATAGGTTCCTCAGGCAAACGACAGCTAACATCGGTTTGGTTTTGTCTGTCATTTTAGATTAGCAGATCCCTATGAAGTCCTGCGGAGTAAAGCTGATTAGCTCTAATACTCTCTGGGGAAGAGACATGAGACTCAGGTGTAAACACAATGTCACAGGCTGTAATTGTAAATGTTCTCCAAACACGTGTAAGGTATAAGGAGTGGATGAAAGAAGACCTGCTGTAAACAACATACTATCTTAAATATACATCGGCCTATTCATGGCTTGTTTTGATAGTGTACAGCTTGCTTCAAAAATATTTGTGTCCACTAGGTAAGTTTATCAGAAGCTGGTAATTAACCTTACATTTTGCATTAACCCTTCTATTGTCTTCGTTTCCCCCCCCCCTTACTTTGGTGTTCGCGGTCAAATTTGACCGGTCCTGTTGTTATTACATTAACACAAAAACCATTAATCATCACCACATTTCATTTAACACCCTTTCAAACTGTAAATATTGTATCAGACTACAGTTATACATGAAAAACTGCAGTAAATATACAAAGAATAGACACTGAACATGTATTGCGTTTTCCAGGTGTGATCCTTGTTGGGGGATGGGCACATAAGAGCGGGAAATGTGCAAATTGTTCTGTGTGTGTGTTTGTGTCAGGTGTGATTCACATGTAGGGGTTGGGCACATAAGGGGGGGTGAAACACATTAGAGAATGTGTGTGTGTGTGTGTGTGTGTGTTTTATCTGATCCGGATGGTTACTAATTCCTTTTCTTTATGGCGGTAATCTTTGCCCGGGAACACCATGGGTGTTACACAGTTGACTAAATCATCGAAAAATCAATGAAAGTGGTGATCAGCAATTTTATATGTTCAAATGTCTACTGTGAAGGATATCATAAAGCCTTAATGCAATTGAATGTAAAACAAAAAAGTTATGATTGATGAAAGTAGTAAATCGGTCAGATTTGACCCGAAGACAACAGGAGGGTTAAATAATAAAAAAAAGTTTTATTATCTACTGGTGGTAAGTTTTTCAGCAATCTACTGCAAAAACTGCAACCCCAAAACAGCTAGAAGTTGTTTTCTGGTAACTATTATTATCATAAGCTTCATAAAAAAACACAAACAAAATTGAGTTCCTTATAAACAGGTTTCTGGTGTTTCCAAAATAAAAATAACTCAAAATCCAAAGACATAACCAACCAATATTTATGTCTCTTCAACACAATAATCAATATCATTCATCAAGTCTCCACCACATAAATATAAACAGCAACATCAGGGGTACAGTGTGTGAAAGTCATATATTTGGGATAAAAAGCAGAGTCCCACTTTATCAGCACACTTCAAACAACATGCATATAGTAGTCAAAGTTCAAAGAGGCAAGGAAACAGGTTGATTTCTGTGGATTAAGCAGGCACGAACATCCCAACCATACACATTATGGTTGATTTAAGGCATTCAGGGTCTGTGAGCACACAAGGTTTGAGAACACTTTCAACATATAACATCAGAAAAACAAAACACTCAATATTGCAATAAGTGGAAATGTTTTTCGGGTTTTCTAAGAATGGATTGTTGGCGGTCGTCCTTAACAGGCACCCTGTACTCTCAATACTGTGAGATTGAGTCCAGCTCATGACTTGTCACATGGTATTTATACATCTAATATGTGTTGACATGTTATATCCAAATATTTTTTACTTATAGAAATAGAAATGTACGACGGATATCCGCAGAAACAACAGAAATGACCAGGCACATTTTGACAAGCTCTTGTTGTGATGAGGGTAATATGACAACAAATTGAATAGCCAGTGTTCAAAGAACAAACACACACACCAATGAAAATACACACAAACACATGTGCAATAGATATACAATAATCTGAGGCATCGTTTAAATAAATACAAATATGTGAACAGAATTAAAATAATACTTAAGACAGACTGAAACTTCAACATGAACATATATTACATTTCAAGAAAATACTTTCAAAGAAGGCACATTATGCGCCCCATATCTTGTCTGTCCTTATAATGAGTTTAAACAGTTCTCCGGGAAAATAAAGGCACTACAAAACAAACGAGATGTGGAGCTTTCAGAACTGCAGAGTCTCAGTAGTGAAAACTATTCTCACTGGAGGACACATTTGTCTTTGCTGTTGTATTTTTGCCTCCTTGCCTCCAGACCGCGCTCCAGACGCTCATCTTCCTCTAATGCCCTGCAAACACAGATACAAACACATATAACAATATAATGAATATGACATTAACTCTTAATGTCTGCACCCTGACCTGTGTCAATGAAGTGATTGTAAATAAGGAATGGAAAAAGTACAAATACCTGAACCACAATGATCTATGTTTTACACGTCAGCATTACAAGCATTAACCTGAAGGCTTTATTTGAAATACACAGTATAAAAAGGTATCTTTTCTTTAAAGAATTTGTTATCTGCTTGCGATTTCCTTTTTGACATTTCTATACAACTATCCGTCCACACCATAGACTGTATAGGTCCACACACACTCACCCTCTCTCCTTGGCGTCGATGTCTCTGATGATCTCGTCCCGCTGGTTGACCAAAGACACGAGCTCCTGGAGGAGCAGCTGCTCCCTCTGCTGCTGGGAGGACGACTTCTGCCAGTCTGTGGGACACATGTACAATAAGGAAATGCAGCAGATTGGATAGCTGGTGAACAGTGTTGGAATTTAACTAAAGGCAGTTATTAACTCAACTTGTCTATTAGTCACACATTTGTACTGTTTATAACTAGCTTTCAATCACCTGTACATCACTTTGAATGCACTCATAAAATGTGATGACTTCTGTATTTTGCTACTTTATTTTTCTACTCCACTACATTTAAGAGGAAATATCGGTATAATAAACCTATTTCATACAAAACACATCTTACTAAATACCACTAATAAGCTCCACCTTCAATACCTTCACACACTTATAATGTCTAATTTGAACTGTGGTATCTCTACTTGTACTCTTTCTGCCATCCCTGACTGACCTTCTATAGCCATCATGACCCGGAGTTCCCTGTTCAGCAGCTCAAACTTCCTCTCCAGATCCTGCTCCTCTTGTCTGGGGACACAGTATATAATCAGACAAATTAAAAGAAGTGTGTGTAATGCATGTGTGTGTACTGTTTGTGTATGAAAAAGCTCTTACAGAAGCTCCAGGTTGTCCTGTCTGCGTATCAGAGCGTTCTTCTTGTTCACCAGAGTGAACCACTCCTGGATCAGTCTCTCTTCTTCATCACGGTCGCTTCCTGTGTAAGCAGAGAACCAAGGGGCAGTTTGTATACAACTTAATGTGTTATTGCATAAAACCTAGATCAAGTACTCCCTACACTTGTGTGTCTGTGTGCCTTACCTGTTTCCATGAGACTTCGCAGTCGTCTCTCCACCACAGCGGCTCTGCTGTCGATGTGTTTCTGCTCCGTCTCCAACGCTGCCAGCTCGCTCACCACATACTGACTGGTGTCCTGCAGACACTGACCACAAGCCCAATTTCACACACACACATACACACAATCACACATGAACATACACATGACAAAGACATCCAGGAAGAGTGGAAAAAGGGGAAAGAAAGAGGGAATCGTGGAAACAAGAAAAAAAGGTAGAAGAAAAAGGTCCAAAGATTAGAGAGCGACACAAAAGATGAAATTTAAATAAACAACTTTTATACAAGTGAAAACACATATGCTTCTCTGTTTCTTGCAACCATCAGTCATGCTAATGATTTGATATGAGATGCAGTCAAAGACAAAGAAAAAAGGAAGTAGAACAGAGGAGGTGAATGAGGAAAACATAACTGACCATTGTTTCCTCTTCTTGTTTGGGAGGCTGGGTCTCAGCTGTACTCTGCATCCCTGCAGCAGAAAATAGGACGTTTAAACAATATTTAAAATGTTAGATTATTGTCACTGAAAGGCTGATGTTCCAGGTACCCACCTTTGTTATAAGTGATTCCAGTCTTGGTTTCTTCATCCTGGAAAAACACATTTTTTAAATCCGGTTTTTAGAATATGATAATAGAGCTTTAACATTTAACATAAAAGTTGGAAACAATAAAAATATGGAAAAAAACTGAGAGAGTTACCTGAGTCTGTCCAAATCGGACTACTTTGGAACGTGGGGGTGGGACTGGTGAGATCGAATCGTCCCCTAAAACCAGATGAGAACTACTATCAGAAGTTTGGTTCTTAAAGCAGATTATTCAACGGAATTCCTGAAAACTTCATATATTACGATGAGACACATTTTGATTCAATGGATTTGATCAACCATGATGAGTGATGAGTGATGATGAGTATGTGGCAGTGCCTTTTTCATTCTGAACACAAAAATCCAAATGTTTCTTAAATCTCAATCTCTACATGTATGGCAGCCATTTCATTCCAGCGTCTGTTGTTTCCAACACAGAGAAATGTTGTCGTTGTCGTAGTTTATAGAATATGATAACACATTTTCTTTTTACTCAAACACATACCTATAAATAATAAAACCAGAGAAACTGATAATTATGCAGTGGCCTCTTAACTGTTATAATTGTGGCATATGTTGTGTTTATATAGGACGTGTTCAATCACATTTTACATCATATATTCTGTATCTTTGGGAACCTGGTAAGAATCTTAATTGAGGTGCTGTAAACTTGATTTAATGATTTGTGTTTCCTCCTCCTGGTCCTCTTAGTTCAAACTGTGCTACTTCACATTCCTAAGATCCCTGGAGACAAGCCAGAGTTTCCCCTTCCCCTTCTCCGTTTTTCTTTTATCTCTTTTTGTTCACATCTCCATGGATTCCAGCATGACCTACTGTATGTACAAGGAAATAACTCTGAGTATGTACAGCAGGGCTATTCAATTGGCGGCCCACGGGCCAAATCCGGCTCCAGGGTGATATTTACTGGCCCTTGGAGTATAATGTTAAAAAGTAATCTATTGTTTTTGGGCCAGAGTGCCTTTATTCCACCGAGGGTGTTACATTGAGAGATAGAGGGGAAGACATTGCCTGAAAACTTCGGCGGGCTCGGGTTTCGAACCCACCTACTAGCTACTGTAGTGACAACTCCTGTCATTTATTGCATCTCTGCGTGAATGATTAGATAATTTCACCTAAATTAAATCAAATGAAAGGATGTTGATGGTTAAATTAGCTTCACATGTAGGCCTACTGATTTCTGAACTTGCCATTTAGATCTATAAAGCCCTGATGTACAGAAACATCAAGTGAGAGGAGCATGAGATAGTGGCATTTAGGATGGAGGCTGAAGACACATCTTTTTAAATTGGCTTTTTATTAGCAAATTTCCTTTTTAATTGGCTCCTTTAATCTTTATTATTTTTAGATTGTTTTATTCATTCACTTATTGTATAGGTTTTATTGGTTTTTAATTATAGTATATATTTTATAATTGTATTAGTTTGTATTATTCTCTATTCATCTAGTGTTATGTCTTCCTTTATCTTACCGAGAGGGATCATTGATTGTTTTATTGTATTTTCTTTTTATTACCATACCCATTTTACCTCCTTTGTCCCTTGAACTGTTATATTATTTTGTTATGGTGCATGTGTGCAAAAAGGTTAGACCTGAAGGAAATATATTTTTCTCTGGTTTAATTTGCGATGTGTGCCATGATGTCAAAGCACTTTGAGCTTTATTATTATTATTATTATTATAAAATGAATGGTTCAAGTATAACAAAGTTGTTTAAAGGGGGGAAGATGTTGTACCTTTACCCAGTCTTTTCGTCCTCGGTGGTGGGACCACCAAGGTGCTGCTTCCTCCCTCCTCGAGGCTCACTCCTTCGTTGAGTCGGGCCATGCAGAAAGCGGCCGCGTCCACATCCGTCGGCCCGGGGCCGGAGAGGGCGAGGCCGTAGCTGGACTGGCTGCTGTTGTGCTCGATCTGCAGCACGCTCAGCTCCTGGTTGGTGAAGTGTGATCGGATCTGGCTGAGGTAGGTCATGACGATGAGCCGGTCGGGGACGGACAGCAGAACCATGTCGGACGGCTCCAGCAGGCGAGAGATGCCCAGAGCCTCGAAAGCATCAAAGGCCTGATGTTGTCAGAAGAGAAAGACATCATCAGCAAAGAAACAAAGAGAAATATCTCTTTGGTAGATTGTAACAACTTGTGAATGATGGAACCTAAGAAAAGAAAATTGATTAACAACATCTTTACCTTTTTGTTGTTGATCTTGATGTCATGAGGGTACAACTGGTCAAATTGTCTGAGGAGGAAAAAAGTAGGTACAAATATAATGCAAATGTACACACATTTCAATTGATTAGGGCCTAAAAGTAAACGTATTTTCATCAAAACATGTCTACATTTCTTTCTTGGTTGAAACAACACTCCACAAAATAAAAAGGTTACTTGAATATAACTTACAATGTATAAAGTAGTCTATGTTTATATTTGTTTTAGAAGTAGGTTGTTCTATTACAGTGTTTTCTAACTTATTCAATACTTCTATAGTTATGTACCTTTCTACTGTTGATACAGTATATATACGTATATATTGTTTATGCATATTATATTATTTTAACCTCAGTATATCTTATCTTATTCTTAAATTCACAATTATATAATTTGGAAAAGGAAGGAGATATTGACAGTTGAAAATGTTGAGGTAGGTACGGAGCTGTTTGTGTTTACATAGCCATCTTAGCTCTAAAGCTGAGAAACATATTATGTTTCTTGTATTTCGTACATTTTGTCAGGATGGAAGTGGTGGAGGATAGCACAGAAGGCCATTCCATTTCTCCAGGACGTGCTGAAGTTGGTGACCTTTATCCCGCGGTGACCTTTGGTGATGTCCTGACACCACTGCAGCAGAGATTGGGTGGAGGTCACCAGGCCCTGCTGGAGGAGGAGAGTTCATCAGAATCAGAAATCCTTTATTTGTCCCGCAACGGGGACATTTGCATTATTACAACAGCAGAAGTATAGTGCAGATAAAGTAAAGAAAATAGACTTACATTTTCAAAAATTCAAAAAGAACTAAGTGTGCACACGTTATTGATAATAAAAAACACAAGTATAAAAAGAAATACTCCATGGTAAAAAAAATAAAAAGTTTCACTATATCTTTTTTGGAAAGTGACCATATCAAATTAAAGAGGTAGCTGGTACTGCTTACAGATTGTAAAAAAATTGAAAGAAAAATAAAGTGTGAATTGCATGAGGGTATATTGCACAAAGTTTGATATGTATTGCACATCAGGGGTATTGAAATATGTGTGTCTGGTGGTTTACCATTGGTTGTGGTGGTTATACAGTCTGACTGAAAAACATTTAGTTTTTGTCTGTGATGTAAAAACAATCCATTTTGCGTATCTTTACCTCAGCTACATCGTCCTTCCCGTCAGCCTCCTCTCTGACCAGTGGAGAAGGCTGAGGGGGCTTAATGTCAGAGGTTTCTTCTTCTGCTAACGTAGGCAGTCGGGATGATGTCATCTCATGAGCAGGAGCAATGTGTGTGTCAAGATGTGATGATGTTTTCTTCTTTCCACCATCAGGGAGGTCAGCCTGTTGTCCTTTTCGCCTAAGATGAAATAGAAATAAATAATTTAAATGAGCAGGGAGACAGACTTTGGTTGGTGGAACAATGGCGATCGTCCAAGCAGCGATTTGTAGAGGTGAGTGAGAGACATGCAAGGTTGCTGGCAGGACGGATGGTAGCAGTGACTTGATGTTAGACAGCATGACAGGGGACATATCATTTAAGATAATAGGAAGATAAACATGCTTCCCTCAACACAGGTCTATGCTGTTAGGAAATGTCTTTATCACCTTTATAACAAAGCATAACACACTTGTGTATGTCATTGACTGTATTTAGATCTATGTGGTGCCTAGGCTTTAAATATTCAGTTGAACACATCAGACAGAGCAGCAGTTCTTGAAACTAAACATGCACTCAGGTGCCAACAAACACATATTACCAGATTAAAAAAAACACCTCCATACTCAAGATTGATAAAATGAAAATGTTAAAGAAAAATCCATAGCCAAAAGCACGACTCCTTTTTACTTTGGCAATCCCCTGCATTTCCCTTTAGTGCAACTTTGAGGTAACATGAGGAACATTTGTGGTTGTGTGTGAAATGGCTCAAACACTCAATACATATCCTTGTAATATTCAGCAGCCTTAATGAATCATTACTTTGGTTAATGTCTTAATATCTTCAACAGACTCAGCTGTTCCTTTTGTTTAGTTTTAATTAGCATGCTAACAGGCTAAAGTAGCATGGCAAACATGTGACACAACTTTATTCAAGCATTGTCATTTAGCATGTTAATATGTTAAAGTTAGCATTCAGCTTGAATGTGGGACTAATAAAGGGATTCTGATTCTGAAGGACTTCTGTGTACAGCCTTATAGACCTGCTAGCTTAGCTCCAAGGCTAGCTATAGGCTTATTGTTATCTTACTTTCTTAATCCTGGGAATTTATCTTAAATTGTGTCAAATATTTAGGGAGTCAGTTATCAAGTCAAGATCATTTTTGTGAGTCCACAGTCTTAAATCCATCTCAAGTCTTCTAATCTGCATGCATGCGCACATTTAAACACAGAGCTTCACTGGTTTTCTTTTCTCGAGCAGCAGAAGCTGACTTACACATCCTCCACGCCTTCTTTATTTTTCCCCAACTCAAGGGATTGTGGCGGCTCTTCTTTCTCAGTTAGAGATATTTCCTGCATGGTATCACCGCCATGCCTCAAGTCACTACTGTGAGCAACAAGCTCTGATATTTCAAAGTCAATCTCCCGGGGGTCTGGGATGAGGAGCTTCATACTGCGAGGGCCAGGGACAGGGGGTGTGTCACCTGTCATCAGATGGATCTTAGCCAATAACAGCCTCTCCTCCTCTTGAAGCTGTTGGTTTTTGGTGATATGGTCAGGGTCAGAAGTGTGTGTATGTGTGGGAGACCATTCAAATTGTGCACTTGTTGAGGTGTCTTTGTCGGTGTTTAAACTGGGGTGGCTTATGTCTTTATCATCCTTCACATTTTTGGGCATTTTTGTGTCATCATTTATTTTGTTGATGTTTATTTCTGTGTTTGAGTGTATGCTGGCACGGTTTATGCTAGGAGGATTTGGCAAAGGCACTGAAGACAATTGATCAAGTGCTTCCTCCTTACTGGCAGCTTGGCCAGTTTTTGTGATTACATCAAGTTTCTGTTCTTTCATTGGCTGCAGCGTTTGTTTTCCAATACATTGTGGAGCTGGTTTGGCTTCAGTTTTCTGACTGATTTCTTTCTCCTGCTTAAACCCAGCTGGAGGTTGAGGTTGAGGATGGTCTGCCAGACTGATTTTGGAGAGTTCAGGTTTCTTTGGTTGACTGACGAGACAGTTTTGGTTAAGGATCTGTCCACTGGATGGGAGTGAGGACGGCGTCTGGGACAGGGTGCCTGGGCTGAAGACAGAGAAGGAGATTTCAGAGCTGAACCTAAAGGCTGAAGATTTTGAAATAAAAAAGCGGACCAGCAACAGATCCTTGTCATGCTCCATTCCCCTCTGGCAACAAACCACCATTCATGTCACACAGCCAGAGCTCCATTTTGTTAATCTCACACAGGGTCAGAGGAAATTCAAGCATTAAAGTCGTTTAGAAAAGACACAGTGAGTTGTAGGTAGAACATTGTATTCTTTAAAGGAGGACATTTGTTTTTTACTTGGCTAATATCTCGGATGTCTGACGTTTTTAACCCTCCTGTTACATTCAGGGTCAAATTGACCCGTTTGAAAGTTTGAAAATCGACGAAAAATACTTTCAAGTATTTTTTTTGTATGACACTTCTTCTACTTACCTTATTTAGTGTAATAAACAAGTTAAATGAAAATGGAACATTTGGAACCCCCCCCCCCCCCCTACATGTCTATTATCACAGAGATGGTATTTGGGTCAATCTGACCCGGCAGTGAAAGTGGAGGCTAAAAGGGGTCAGAAACACACACACACGAGAAAGTGGAGGCTAGAAGGGGTCAGAGGGTTGAAATGTGAAATACAGTATATATATCGTAATTTTCCACACACAAAAAGATAGACAGACAGACATACACAAATACACACACAAATACACACCGCACCTGTTAGTGAAAGTGGGGGTCAGAGGGTTCAAGTCTCAAATGTGTAATGGGTAAGCTCCTCCCACACTGGGATACATTATACTCTGCACTTAACGTACAGTATACTCACAATACTATCAGACAAAATGAGCAACGCAAGTGAAGAGAGGACAGCCCTGAGGAGGATCACGACAGCGAGATAGAGGAGAACGTTTCCGAGGATGAAGACTACCTTGAGGTAAACGATGAAGATTATGATTATGATCAATCAGATGAGGAAACTGATATTCGCCCAGATGAGACATTCATGTCCAAAAATTGTGAAATTCAGTGGTCCTCATCCCCTAATGGACGCTAGGCAACACTATCGGCAGCAAACATAATGAAGTCAGTGCCAGGGCCCACCAGGATGGCACGAGAGGTGTCACCAGTGTTGGGGAAGTTACTTTTAAAAAGTAGTGTTTGCTCGTTACTAGTTACTTCTTTAAAAAAGTAATCCCTTACTTTACTTAGTTACCCTCCAAGGAAAGTAACTTTTTACGTTACTCGTTACTTTTATGTTGCTCGACTTTGGGCAGAACCCCATCTCTGTTCCTAAATGTGTAGGCTTACATAACGTTCTACTATGGAGGACATAACAGATATGTCTTTTGTGCTCTTTATTATAATAAAAAATGCCACAGAGCAGTTAACAAAACATTGGGCTATAGGCATCAACACCACCACTAAACAATAATATCAAACAATATCAATATAAAATCATAATCATTAAGGGTTACAGGCTAGCCCCAAAATAGGTGCAAAGCTAGTGCAAATCATATCAATAGGCTACTAAATAGGCTTGGACTCGAAATATCATCATTTCCCCGGGGATCTTGAGCTACTAGCTTCATACTAGCATGTTTTCCTTTCAAATGCTTGGTGAGGTTGGCAGTGGAGTTAACGGCAGTGGACACAAGTTTCTGGCCAGGGCACAACGTACACCTTACACTCACATTTTCCCCCTTAGTTTCAACAAGTTCGAAGTAATACCTCCATCCCTCGAATGTTAGCGTTGGCTGCGCCTGCTTCTCGCTTGCCATCACTGCTCTTCAGTCTTCATGCCACCACCAGCGGCCAGCCTCTATCACGTACAGTGTGGAATGAGAGCTCGTGCCTAATGCGTAATGTTAGAAATTAAAATCAATGTTTTATGGCATAATGTACCTTAAAGGGATAGTGGAAATGGAACCTCAAATAATTTCGTTTTAACTTATATACAAGCATAATTACGTACCAAAACAATCACACCTGATTAAAAATATATAATAATTGCCTTACGCATGTTAGAAGCACTTTTTGCAGCTTCCCCGAAGTTTTTTAGAAACGAAATGTTCGACTCAGCCAAACCGGAAGTGACGAAAACTTAGGAAGATGATACGATAACAAACCATGGCGTCTATGCAGAATGAACGTGGAAGGGCAAATATACCAGACAAAGAAGAAGGATTGTACGAGGTATCCAGTGATGATAGCGAGTCAGAAACATCCTCTCGGCTTTCCTACGAAAATGTCGTTTTAGGAACTGAATCTGAATCCGGTTCAGTAAGCGACGATGGTGACAATATTGAGCCAGACGATGGACCATTACGTCCTTATTTGTTCGAGCCCGAGCCCGAGGTGATGGTTCACGGCATGGGCAATGGCGAGGATGACCAGGACCAGGCGCCAGATGATGCACCCCTACGCACAAATAATCTTGACTGGTAGGTCCCTAAGCATAGCTCACGCATCTTAAGATCACCTGTAGCCTTTACAAATATTAATCATTGTTAACCAGTTAAGCCCGAAGGTCCCCCCAGTGGACCCCTCCCACAGTTTTTTTTTCTCTCACATGTCTCAGGGCTTCTTAACATTTATGAAACTATTAATGTTTCATACCCTTTTAAAGGTAAGAAACTCCGCTAACTGACAATAAGAACAATTGTTAGCTACAAAAAACACAAGAGTAATACCAAGCCTTTGAATTAGCATTGAGCGAAACAATGCTAACTAATGCTAACGCTTTTTTACACACAACACACGGTAGAAATGCCCTTATTACTATCTTAACTGCACAAACAAGATATACGATTTAAAGCTAAGACTCCACAGATTCCACACATGTAATGTCATCACTGTAAGACCTCGAATTCCTGGAGCTATCAGCCAGAAAAGAGAAAGTAAACAACATCCGGTTCCAAAAATATTACAATAATTACGTCTTACCTTTTTTGATTTGTGATCAAAAGTTGTGTTCAACGGAATAAAAACGCATCTCAAGGTTAATCCAATGTCGTTGTGTCACGTAGAATTTTTTACTGATAATCAATCATCATATTTATGGCAATATACTTGGTACCATAATAAAGGTCGGCTATTCACATGCAAATGCTATTGAATGTCCGCCATTGTTTGTGCCCGTCTTCCTATGCTCTCGTCATCACCCGAAGATTCCCGACGATTCCCGAAGTATTTCGTTTCATTGAGAGGGCACAGTAAAATTGAAAATAAAATGAAACTAGGCGCATGAAATAAAAAATTTTTTTATTATGCTTATTTTTAATAAAAATACATAAGTTAAACCCAAAATTCGCGGATTTCCACTATCCCTTTAAACATACCGTCAGTTTAAATCAAGCGGCAAACTGTGGGGTAGAGCCGGGAAGCCAATACGGAAGTGCCACACACTGCAGTTCATATATTGGCCGATAGGCGATGGCTGCAGAAAGGAGCAATTTCCATAGACCCCCATGTTAAAATGCCCGATTTTACAGCAGAAAAAAACATGTTTCTACCCCTGGCTCCATACATGTTATTATCGATATAGTTAGATTCCACGTTCATGATTATGGATCTGTGAGTGAATTGTTTTCTAACGCGACCCTTTATATTTATATTAGGTCTTAAAGTTTGTGCATACATTAGGGCGTGGTCACTTTGATTGACAGATACTTGCCTCACTGTCAGCTAACAGCAACTTGTCCAATCTGCTAGGCTACAACCATAGAGGCTACAACGTTAGTTAGTTGTAGTTACTGTACTTGATCCTTAGCTGTGTTCGTGGTGATCGTGCCTGTTAGGGAATATTGTTACAAATACCAGATAATTAAAATGTCGTGCTGTGCGCTTGAATGTACTAACAGATCTTCCAAGAAGTCTACTTTCAGCTTTTTTCGGTGAGTAAAATGATAATATTATACATGTTAACCCCGTTAGCAGGTGTTTGTGTGCTTGTTAGCTTAGCCTGTTATGTAGCTTATTAGCCAGCTATGGACGTAACCCTTTATACATATATACAGTTTAGTTTATGATTCAGCCTTGGGTAAGACTTTTATACTATATGGCTATGACGCCCATAATGCTAAACGGGAGCAAATGTTAAAAGGGGTGGGCCGCCGGAGTCCACGCCGCCGAAGCTAACGGGGCTGCAGGGTGCTAGCTCGCTAGCGCGTCCCGGCGGCCGTAGCTAGCACCCTGGGGCTCCGTTAGCTTCGGCCAGCGGCGGAGTCCGGCGTTATAACTGGAGATCAAGGAATGCATCGTAACGCGGACTTGGTTCGCCTGCAGCCCGCTGTAGTATTAGCTAAATAAATGATGTTGAGCAAGGCTTATTAAGCTGAACACCGCCACAATTATTCTGCTATGTATCGGTACTTATTTTTATTTTATTAACGTGTGAATGACAAGCATTAAGAATAATACCAAATAGCTAATTATCAGATTGTCTCGTTTGATTATGAATGTAACGTTTATATAGTGGAACTACACTGTTTTATCAAAACCAAAGTGCCACGCAGTGACTTGGTATGCATGTATTTCAGCAGGAAATGTGCAACCTAGATGACATTTACCAACACAGACTATATAGAAATATTTGTAAAAGTTGTTCATGCGTTACTAAGTGAATATGGCATTAACCCTCCTGTTGTCTTCGGGTCGAATCTGACCGATTTACTACTTTCATCAATCATGTTTTACATTCGATTGATACTGAGAGCATGTTAGCTTAGCTTCTTAGCCTGAGCTAGGACTCGAACGTCACGCTCGTTGGCAGCAGGTCCCGCCCTGTCCCGCCTCGGCTCCGCCTCGGCTCCGCCTCAGCTCCGCCTCAGCTCCCGCCTCAGCTCCGCCTCAGCTCCGCCTCAGCTCCGCCTCAGCTCCGCCTCTTTGCCCTTATTTGGAGAAGGCGGGAGAAGGCGGGAGTTTGACTCTGACAACACCGTCGAGCCGTTAGTGGCCGACTCCGCCTACCAAGGGCTTCACGGCAACTCTGCAGAATCCTATGGGTGACGTCACGGACCCTACGTCCATTTATATATACAGTCT